CAGCCACCTCTTGGCCTGCACACCACCCTGAGCCTTCCCATCCCTGCTGCTGCCCAGGCCCCTACTGGGCTGTGGCGCATGGCATCCATGGAAGCCCCCAGCCAGCCCTCTGAGATAGTAGGATGGCTTCCTTGCTGGCAGGAAGGGCCAGCTTGACAAGGTAACCCTGGGAAGTCCCCTTAGCTCTACCTCTGGCTCTTAGGACATGAAGTCTGTGGCTGGTGGCCAGCCCATCTTCTGGCCATGTGCTGGGTCAGGTTCATGGACAGCAGGCCCTACAAGAGGTTCTTGCCACGCTAGTAGAAGGCTATTCCCTCTCCTTGTGGGAGCGGCTGGGAGGATGACAAGGAGCCACAGGCACTGTGTACAGCTGAGGAAGACTCACTGCTGCTGGTCCCAGGGCTGGAGAGTCTGCCACAGGCCTGGCCATGTGGACCCAGCCTAGGCGCGCAGGTGGGCTGGGGTGTTCAGACGTCTCTCCCTGCCCAGTGGACAGCCTTCATTCCCGGGGCGCAGGGGCGAGGACCGAGTGTGGAGGAAGAGGCCCAGGACAGGTCGGCCAGCAAACTCCGGCGACCCGTGGAGCAGGCAGAGCGGGAAGTCTTTCTGGGCTCAGAGAGCTCCCCTGGCCAGTATCCTCCTTGGGAGGCCTTGCGTGCTGGGCCTGTCTGCCTGGGCCTGAACCTGAGAGGGGCGGGGAGGGTGTGGTCAAGGCTCCTTGCTGTCTGGAAGAGGCTTGATAGAAATAACTGCTCCCATCTGGGCGATGAGTCACCGAGGGGACATTTCAGCCCTTTGGGTTCTATTTTAGGTGAGATGCCTGTTGACAGCCTGGTTGACGGGACGAGTAAGGGAAGGTTCTTATGGTGAGTGCGGGAGTTTTACCACATGCCCCACCCACCTTGTTCAACCCTGTTCGGAACCCAAGGGGGGTGTCACCCTGAAGTCCCAGGATGAGAAGCCTTACTTACCAGATCCCTCTTCTCGGAGGGAAGTCCCACCTTGCCGCATGGAGAAAATAACTGGGTGATTAGGTCCAGACTGCCCGGGGTATTTTAGATTGCGTGGTCAAGGGTGTGTTCTGATAGGGAAGTGACGCTTGACCTGAGACCTACACTAGCAGCTGGGCTAAGGGGAATAGTGCGTTCAAAGGCCCGCTCAGGAGTGAGCGCCACTTAGAGCGGGGCCCCGCGGGTCTGGGGTGGGGCGGCTCAGCGGAGATGGTGGGAAAGGAGGCCAGACGGGTGGGGCTAGGCAGGTAGAGGCCTCCCGGGCCACGGCAGAGGCCCCACGGAAGCACGATGGACTCCGCTGGAGGGGTTTGAACCCATAGGTATACGTTCTGGTTTATATGTGGATTTTTTGGAGGAAACAATATTATTGGCTTATGTAACTGGAAGTCCGGGGGTAGCCTTAAGGCATAGCTGAATCCAGAGGATTAAATGAAGTCATCCCATCGGCCCCTTTCTCTTTGTCTGGCTCCACTTCTGGCTGGCTGTGGACTTCACTCTTAGTGTCGCTCTGCATGCTGGGAAAGAAGGTTACTGACCTTCCGAGGCAGCATCCTTCGGCTAGGACTCCAAAAGAAAAAGATCCTCTCTTATTGTTCATTCGCCACTTACCAGGGCTGGGCTCCGGCTGCCGTCTTCAAGGTCACATGCCAGGCCCTGCACCACTGGCTAAACCACCCACTGGCCCCGCGTAAGTCACGTGCCCACTTTACTGAGGGAGGGGCTGTGACGGGGAGAAACTACACGTCTGCCATGTGAATAGCAATACATGTCTTGTTTGTTATGGAGGCACAAATTATCCCATTTTATTCAAATGTGTCATCCTGAAGGAACAAAAAGGGCTTATTTCGTTCTACTTACATTGTCACTTGCGTTGTATTACTTTGCTCGCTCGCGCTGATCTTGTGCTCAAGATTTGTCATGTCTCCTGTCTCCTTGGCTAGACTGTGCCCCTCCAGGACAGGAATCGTAGTTTCTTCTTATTCTCGATGCCTCCGTCTTGCACCCCCTTTTACTTATTTATTCTTCCTGCAAGTTCTCACTGAATGTCTGTTGTAGCAGGCACTGCTAGGGCTCGATTTCCCTCCTCACACATCTGGCTGCTGTGTGGTAATGGCCTGAAGGGAGCAGCAGGGGAAACAGAGTGACCAGTTGGAGGGTATGGGGTCATCCAGCCAGGAGGGCAGTGATGGACAGGTGAGGCGGGGTTGGGGTGGACTGAGGCACACAGACCTGAGATCCAGCCCGTGCGCAGTCAGGAGGACTCTTGAGTGGGAGGGTCTGGCAGGCAGTGGGTTGGTGGTCGTGAGGGTAGGATGCGGAATGCGCGCCTGCCTCTGCTCTCCGCTCCACGTGCCTGGTAGCTCCTAGCAGACAGGGCAGTGTTATATGCCCTCTCAGCCCTGCCCCTTGGAAGCCCAGTAATATCTGAGGAAGGCTTGGTGCTCCCACCTGTGCTGGGAGCTGGCTGTGGTGCCTTGGAGCCTGCAGTGACCTGTGTCATGGGTGCCCCCAGCCCTGGTCATCCTGCTGACCATGATGCTTCCTCCTCAGGTGAAGGAGTGGCTCTGTCTGAACTGCCAGATGCAGAGGGCTCTGGGGATGGACATGACCACGGCGCCTCGCTCCAAGAGCCAGCAGCAGCTGCACTCCCCAGCCCTGTCTCCGGCCCATTCCCCAGCCAAACAGCCCCTGGGGAAGCCAGAGCAAGAGAGATTGCGGGGCCCAGGGGGACCACAGCCTGGCCCTCGCCAGGCAGAGACAGCCAAGGCCACCTCAGTGCCGGCACCTGCCCAAGCAGCCGCCCCTCCAGAGGTGGGGAAGGTGTCTCCTCAACCCCCTCACCCCATCAAGCCTTCCACGGCTGAGCCCAGGCCACCTGGAGGAGAGACCCTGGCCAAAAGTGCCACCACAGTGCCCTCTGGGCCTGGTGCTGCTGAGCAGACCCAGGAGGGCCTCACTGGGAAGCTCTTTGGTCTGGGTGCATCGCTGCTGACCCAGGCGAGTACCCTCATGTCTGTGCAGCCTGAGGCCGACACCCAGGGCCAGCCTGCCCCCAGCAAGGGGCCACCCAAGATCGTCTTCAGTGATGCCAGCAAGGAGGCTGGCCCAAGACCCCCAGGCTCAGGGCCCGGGCCGGGGCCAGCACCTGGAGCCAAAGCTGAGCCTGCAGCTAGAACAGGTCCTGTATCAGGGCCTGGAGCCCAGGCAAGAACTGGGGGAACAAGCAGTCCAAAGCCTGGCAGAGCAGAACACCAGGCAGTGTCCAAGGCTGCTGCCAAGCCAAAGACCATGCCGAAGGAAAAGGCCACCTGCCCACTGTGCCAAGCTGAGCTCAACGTGGGCAGCAAGGGCCCAGCCAACTATAACACCTGCACCACCTGCAAGCTCCAGGTGTGCAACCTATGTGGCTTCAACCCGACGCCCCATCTGGTAGAGGTAAGAGAACTGGGGTCATGGGGGACATGGGGAGAGCAGGGGCCAGAAAGAGCTCCAGAAAGCTGGGTCTGCAGCAGTTGCGGGGCTGCCCCTACACTACTAATGCTGCAGAGGGCTATGCTCTTTTTCTGTCCCTGCCCCAGGCCTGTCCTTCCCTCAGAGAACTAACTGGCACAGTGGATGGGGTAATGGTGCCCACTGCCTCTGACTGGCTGACGAGTGCCCTGAGGCTGGTCCCAGAGGTAGCCAGGCTCAGGAGGCCCTGAACTGGCCTCCCATTCCCAGCTATCATGAGCATGACCTTGATGAAAGATTCCAACCTCCTCTGTTCAGGTAGGAAGAACCTGAGGTCCCACTTGGCCCATGGTCTGCGACCCTCACAAGGGGTTAAGGGCTGTTAGGCAGAGGGCTGTGCCCATGCCCAGGGAAAGGCAGAAGGTTTTCTCACAGTGGAGCAAGCCATATCCCATTGCCCAGCCCCTAGCCCAGCCAGGTGGTATCCTCCTTCCATCCCGTTCTGAGGTCGTTGGTGTTGGGGTGTTGATGTTTGCTTGTCAAAGCCACAGTCTTTGGTTCTGTGTTTTCCCTTGGGTGAGCCTGGCTCTCCTTGGAACTACTTGTGGGATGCTCAGAGATGCTTTCCTTCCCTGTAGGAAAGTTTGAGGGGGTGCTGGGGTTGCGGTCTGTCTCTCTGGATCCCCTGCTCCAGGGAAAAGTGCTGGGCACTGTGCAGAGCTGGGTGGAAGGGAGTAGGAGGCCCAGTTTCTTTGGAAGCTTGGAGCCCCACCTGGGAGGCACAAGTGGTGTGGAGGTACCCTGGTAGAGCTGGCTCAGCCCTGGCCTTGGAGCCTGCCTCCGATCTTCCCCTTCCCCACTCTACCCACTTAGGACCACCTGGTGAACCCTACCTTGGCTGCCCTGGACATAAGTGGCTGTGTCCCCTTCTGTGGCATGCCTTGGGGCCTGCGATTGTCTCATCTTGGCAAGTGGATTTGTCCCCTTGCTGTCATGTCAGGAGGCGGCCAAGCCAAGGCTCCTCCTCCTGCACACAATCAGCCAGCTGAGCCCTTGCATGGCTGATGTTGGTCAGGGGAGTGTGGAGTCCCAACCCCTGCTGGCCGAGAGTGGGACAGTAGAGTGGAACGTGGTGTTGCCATGGTCTGTGTGGCACCTGTTCTGACTTGCCTTGAGCCAGGCCTCTCTGGAAGCTGCCCAGTGTGATGAGGAAGACTGTTTTGGCCGCCATATTTCCCAACATGCAAGGAGGGGCAACCCTGAGCAAGACAAATGACATTCTCATGTGATGCCAGGTGGCCCTCTAGTTCCCACACTGCCACCTTCCCAAGCCCTAGGTCCAATGGCTCACTGAAGGACCACTGGCCTGGCTGGCCAGGGTGGGGATGGGGCACCAGGGGGGCACCAAGGGCCAGAGAAGCTCCAGTGGAGGGACTGCCAAGCAGTCACTCACTGCCAGCTGGGTGGGTGCCCGAACACTGAGGAACTGAACCCCACTGGACTGCTGAACTGGCCCAGCCTAGAGCACCTTTATTCCCGAGAGACTTGGCCTGCATTTCCTCATTAAGCAGGATAGGCACAGAACAGAGGGGAAAAATACCTCTGTGCAGCAGTGAAAACGGTCCCGACAACTCCTTTCAGCAGCCCCTGGGCCAGGCCAGGGAAATGCTGACTCAGCCCAGGCAGAAGTGTCTCAGTCACATGCTGCTCTGGATGTGTGTCTGGATTCTGATCTAAATCTCTCATTAGCTGCTTGGTTTTGCCTTCCTGGACCCCGGAGCTTCTGCCTCTCAATGGCCAGTGTTGCCTCTGCCTCACCCCCTCCATGACCTACTGTCTCCATGTCTTGCTCCACTGCAACCTCTTTGGCCAGGACCACCCTTGCCTCCAAGGGCCTGACGGCAAAGCTGCTCAGCATCCTGGTCCTAGCTCCTCCCACCCTGCACTCTGTTTCCCTGCCTCCTGCTCACAATGATAATCAGAGGGTGGCCCAGCTTCACTTTCTTCTTTCTCCTCATGGCTCTGCCTGGTACCACTGCTATCCCCAGGGCACCTGTGGCTGCTCCTGGGGAAGGTGTGGATGGGTGGCCATGATACCAGCGCCTGTGGTTCCCATACCAGAAACCGGAAACCGTGCCACCAGCCACCAGCCACCATCCACCGTCAGAGATGCATGCTGGCAGCCTGGGGTCATCCTTCCCCTCTCTCACGTACATCCACTCCATGAACTATGCCCCGCTGGCTCTTCCTCCCACTGTCACTAGAACCTGGCTTTTTCATCTTCAGGCCACAGCCTAGTCCAAGCCCTTATCTCCCTCACCCAGACAGTGACCAAAACCTTACCTCTGCTCTGCCTGCCTTGGGTCTTGCAAGGGGCTGGTGGGGAGGGGCTGGTGCTTGGTGTGTCCCCCCTCTCCCCTGCACCAACATTGATGCTTTTCTTTGCTGAGGCCGTAACCAGACTGGGCTTTCCTTGATTGCAACTCAGCGAATGGCCGCTTGGCATTTGGATCCATTTGGTTCTTCCCTGTGACCCACTTGGTGTGGTCTTCGTTAGAGGCTCCTGATTTCTCAGCAGGGCCCCCAGACACATCCTGCCCTGGGAGTGAGGTGGCAGGGCCAGTAGGTCCTTCTCCGGCCCCACAGGTTAGGTCTGCCCTCGCTCTCCTTCCCAGACACTGCCAGGCTCTCCTTCCCAGACACTTCCCAGACACCTGAGGCTGGAGCAAGTGCCTGGGCTGCCAGGTTGGGAATTTTCCTCAGCATTTCTGAGCTTCAAAAATCTTTCTACCTTCTCTCTAGACATAGAGTCCAGAACATACAATGGAAGAGGCAGTGGAGCTAGGTTCCTTTTCCCACTGAAATTTCCTCTGGGGGAAAAATAACCATGGTGCTATTTAGTGAGTCATTTCATAATTAAGAGTTGTTGATTCCAAATTTTTTTACCTATTTAACTTCGGAAGGATAATGGTACCTTCTGGCTTAATTTTTAATTGGCTTTCAGTTCAAAACAGAGTCTGTGAAGAGATGAGTGGAATTGGAATGGTTACAGTAACACTGCCAGTTTCTTATATTATTATACTTGCCAAATACCAGCGTGCCCTTGAGAAGTTTGGCTTCTCTGGGCAAAGGGCCTGGCCCTGTGATGTGTGGGGCTGGGCTGGGTTTATTTGGGGCCGGGGTTGCGCAGGGGCATCAGGCAAGAGGCCAGCAGCTGCATCTACTCCAGACCTGCCTCAGGCTGCCTCTGGGCAGTGATCCAGGGAGCCCATCTCCTCCCTGGGGAAGGGGCAGTAGTACTTCCTCGCAGGTTCCCGTGAGAACCAGGTGAGATGCCACACCTCCCGTACTTATGCAAGGTCAGCCCTTGAGCCAGGATGTTGGAACCAGAGTGTCCTAAAAGAGTCCCTGTGTGAGGAAAAAAGGGTTCCCACCAGCCCCTGCCTCTCTGGTGTGAATCAACCATGTGGCCGGCGCAAGATCCTGGTCTTGAGAGGGGGATGCCCCACAGGGGATGAAACATTTGGTCCTGGAGCATGGGGTGGGGGGAGCCGTGGGGAGGGCACAGCCTGGCCACAAAGGCACACGCTGGGGGTATCAGGGATGATTCCTCTCGTAAGATGCAGAGGCCCAGAAGAGAGGAGCTTAAGCATGTCTGCAGACTGGGAAGGGCAGCGGGGTTACAGAGCAGGAACAGCAGCACCAATGATGGCCGTGCCTGTGGTCCAGGGCCTGAGTCTTGGGCCCTTTACCTCTGGGCACCCATTTTTTCTGGAGTCCTCACCCACTGTCCCCTGGTCTGGCAGTGGGGCTGAGGGTAGGCTGGGCCAGGCAGCTATGGGGTATCGGTCAGTCTAATATCATTGTAACCAGACTGACAGGTAGGCTAGCTCCTCCTATAAAGAGATGGCAGACAGTGCAGGGAGGAAGCCAGCTTCCACTGCAGCCTGGTCGGGCTCCCTTAGACATAGCAGTTCCCACTTGCCTGTGGGGCTGGGCTCCCTACCCACTCTCTCGGACAACCCACTTCCTTTTCCTCACCCTGAGCTCACCTAGCTCCATCCAATGGTATGTCCACCTGCACCTCCCACCTAGCTCCATCTATTACCTGAACTCGCCCAAGTGCACCCACACCTCTCACCTTTAGGTGCTGCTTGTCCTTGAGGGTTTCTATCTTCCTGTCCCCAGAAAGGAACTGGGCAGAAGGAGGCAAGGCAAAAGTGGTCACCAGAGCCTCCCATTGTCTTTCCCAGGTCCCAGATCATCCCCTGCTTACTTGCTGAAGGGGACAGGCAAAGGGTCAAGCAGGCAGCAGCTCCCTGAGGGCTGGGGCTGGGGCTGGGGCTGGGGCTGGGGCTGGGAGACTAGGAGAGAATACACAAGGCAATGAATGAACAAGGGGATGAGTGAGCGGGCAAGGTGGGGGCATGTTGATGGGGGCAGAGACGAGAACAGCCAGGCACAGGTTCTGCATGGCCTGCCTCCCACCCCATCCACATTCCCCGAAGACTTAGGCCTGGGCCAGGTCTCCCCTCGCTCCACCCCTACCTGCCCCAATGCCCTATACCCTTCTCCCCCTACCCCCAGAGAGCTGGAGAAGGGCCTTCAGCAGCCAGGCTAGGTGTTTATTTTTAGTTCTTAGCTCACATGCCTCTTCCTGCCTGCCCTCCATCTCTTCCTTGATGCCGGCTATAGCAGAGCCAGGAGCTAGAGGGCCGCTGGGCAGCCCCTTCTGCAGCCTGGTCCCTCCATGAGTAAGCCTGGGAGGAAACAGAGCCTGGGGCAGCATGTGACCACAGGTACCAAGCTTTGTCAAGGGCTCAGGTAAGCAGGTCGCTGCAAGGCTGGCTCTGAGCCCTTCACATTCCGTCTACCTCTTCCCGCCAGGACACCCTTCCAAGGTGCCCTTGCTTCATTTGGACTTTTGATTCGGGGGTGGGGTCTGCAGGCCAGAGGCAGGGGTCAGAGGTTTGCCAGCCTCCAAGGTGAGCCAGGGAAGATGGCCTAACCTTGAGAGGCCTAATGTGGGATGGCTGTGCAGGGACCCAAGGTGGAGTCAGGGCAGTATAAGCCTTGGGCCAGTGCCGCTCTGGGCCCAGATCTTAATCCTAGCATGCTGATCCTGGGGCTAGGGAAGGGGCTGTTTGTGTATTTCCAGAATTCTCTCTTGCCCTCTGCCTACACCCCTCCCACCTATCCAGGGTTCTTGTGCCATCTCACAATTCTGACACAGGGGCATTTTCATTGTGTCCCTAGGTAATGCTGGGGCATGTGAGTGGGATTCTTAGCTAAGACTGTATGCTTCTGTCCATCTCGGGGCTTGGTCTCAGCCTGTCCAGTGCTCCCCCCAGGGTCTAGGAGTGGACCCTGCCAGGTGAAGTAAGCGCAATGCCCAGCAAGTAGCCAGCACCCATTGCCTCACTGGAGTTGGAGGAGGTTGGTGAATAGAGCATCAGATGAGGTGTAAAGGAGTCAACAGTAGTTCTTAGGGCTGGATCCTGCAGGGAGCAGGGTGAGTTCATGGAGGCCCTCTGAAGGGTCCCCCTCCACAGCTGGACCCCTCTGCCCAGGACTTGGGTATGGGATTGGGCCTCAGGGCAGAGAAAAGCTCCAGTCTCGGGGCAATGGTCTCAAGGCCCTGAGTAACAAGCCTGTGGAGCACCTACCCTTCAGCATACACCAAGGCCTGGCTACCTGCCTAGCCTGGCCTCCACTGGGACCCAGGGCAGAGATGTGCGTAGCTCTATGGGCAGGAAACCAGGACAGAATTATTGATGTGGCATTTTCTATGCCCCTGCTCAACCCCAACCTGCCCCCAAGTCAGGCATCTCCTAGAGCTCGTACCCTGGCCCCAGGAGTTTGCACCCTCCCTCCATAGCCTTTGCTTGGGAAGTGTGTGGGGAAGGATGGTGGGTGAGGCTCAAGAGCCAAGAGATGGGGAGGGGCCACCCCTCCAGGAGGTGCCTATCTGATGCCGTTCCTAGCCTGCTGAGGCTCTCCACCCCTGGGCTCCACACCAGCCATCAGGGGTTGTCTGCTCCCTGGGGCAGGGCAGAGAAAAGCTCCAATCTCGGCAATCCCAGCTCCCCTTCTTGTCCAGACCCTGTGCTGCTCGTAGCCTTCCCTCCCTTACAGTCTTCCTTGTCTGGCCATGGGGAAAGCTCCCAATGGAGTAAGGAAGGGACCCTTCTTTGGGGTTCATCATTTTAACTCTGTGTATGTGCATTAAGAATGGGAAAGTCTGTCATTAGGGGGCAACACATCTATCATTCTTTTTTCCCTCATGTCTTTGGTGACTCTCCTTCTTAAGTTTACAAAAGTAGTCATGGAAATATCCTTCCAGTACTTCAGTGTCTTCATGATTTCATTCACTCCTCTCTCATTTCCTTACAGAAAACCGAGTGGCTCTGTCTGAACTGCCAAACTAAGCGACTACTGGAGGGCAGCCTGGGAGAGCCGACCCCCCTACCGATACCCACCCCACAGCAGCCCCCCACAGGGGCCCCTCACCGTGTGGCTGGAACAACCCCTCTGAAGCAGAAAGGGCCACAGGGGCTGGGCCAGCCATCAGGCCCTGTGCCTGCCAAGGCCAGTCCCCTGCCCAGCAAGGCCAGCCCCCAAGCAAAGCCCCTCAGGGCTTCTGAACCCAGCAGGGCCCCGAGCAGTGCCCAGGAGAAAAAGACAGGAGTCCCAACTAAAGCTGAGCCTGTGCCGAAACCACCTCCAGAGACTACCCTGCCCCATGGGACTCCTAAAGCAAAGACCGGAGTGCGGAGAACTGAACCCACCACCCCTGTCGTCAAAGCTGTTCCAGAAGCCCCCAAGGGTGGGGAGGCAGAGGTCAGTCCCATTCATTTTGCAAAGACCCTAACTGTCAGGTGGCACAGTCTAGGGAAGGGCTTGGCTCCCTGGGGCCACTGGGATGTAGGCCTGGGTTCGGTCCCTGGGGCCACAGAGTAGGGCAGGGATGCCTGAATGAGGCTGTGGTGGGTCTGGAGCCTGTGAGTTAGAGGCTAGTCCTGTGCCTGGCACCTTGTTGGATGCTTTGCTGGGTTTTTGCTACCGTAGATCTAGTAAAATTCCTCTGTGAAACCTAGGGCTGCATGGGGTTTGCCGTGGAGCCTGCAAGTTGTTCAAGGCCAGAGCAATGGAGAAGGTAGTGGGCTCTGATCCCTGGGAGGTGGAGGGACCCTTCTCTAGGACCCTGGGGTTGATGGAGAGGGCTGGGCTCTCCCTCCGATGAACTGTCTGCCGTGGGAAGTCAGCACTTGCTTCTCCTCTGCTGCAGGAGCTGGTGGGCAAGCCTTACTCTCAGGACCTGTCCCGGAGCCCACAGAGCCTCAGCGACACGGGCTATTCTTCTGATGGCGTCTCCAGCTCCCAAAGCGAGATCACAGGTGTGGTGCAGCAGGAGGTGGAGAAGCTGGACAGTGCGGGGGTGACAGGGCCACGTCCACCCAGCCCCTCCCAGCTTCACAAGGTGGGCAGCATGCGGCCTTCCCTGCAGGCCCAGGGCCCCGCCTCCAGCAGCGAGCGCAGCAAGCTGCCTAGCGGCAGTGGTGGGGAGCAGAAGCGGCGGCCGCACTCCCTGTCCCTCATGCCCGAGGCCTTTGACTCCGACGAGGAGCTGGAGGATATCCTGGAGGAAGAGGGGGACACTCTGGAGTGGGGGCGCCAGGGGGAGCAGCGGGACACAGCTGAGTCCTCGGACGACTTGGGCAGCCGGCTGAGGCATGACTATGTGGAGGACAGCAGTGAGGGCGGCCTGTCCCCTCTTCCATCGCAGCCCCCAGCACGGGCAGCGGAAATGACCGATGAGGAGTTCATGCGACGGCAGATCCTGGAGATGAGCGCTGAGGAAGACAACCTGGAGGAGGAGGGTGCGGCCACCTCCAGGCACGGCCTGGCCAAACATGGCACCCAGAGGGGCGGCCCCAGGCCCAGGCCCGAGTCCAGCCAAGAGCCAGAAGCACTGCCCAAGAGGCGCCTGCCCCACAATGCCACCACGGGCTATGAGGAGCTGCTCTCTGAGGAAGGCCCAGAAGAGGCCATCGATGGCACCGGGGCCCTGCAGGGAGGCCTCCGCCGTTTCAAGACCATTGAGCTCAATAGCACAGGCAGCTATGGCCACGAGCTGGACCTGGGCCAAGGCCCAGACCCTGGCCTGGACCGTGAGCCCGAGCTGGAGATGGAGAGCCTGACAGGCTCCCCTGAGGACCGCTCCCGTGGGGAGCACTCCTCCACGCTGCCGGCCTCCACGCCCAGCTACACGTCGGGCACCTCTCCCACCTCCCTGTCTTCATTAGAGGAGGACAGTGACAGCAGCCCCAGCCGCAGGCAGCGGCTAGAGGAAGCCAAACAGCAGCGCAAGGCCAGGCACCGCTCACACGGGCCCCTGCTGCCCACCATCGAGGACTCCTCAGAGGAGGAGGAGCTGCGGGAGGAGGAGGAGTTGCTGCGTGAGCAGGAGAAGATGCGGGAGGTGGAGCAGCAGCGCATCCGCAGCACAGTCCGCAAGACCCGGCGTGACAAGGAGGAACTGCGGGCCCAGCGGAGGCGCGAGCGCTCCAAGACACCCCCCAGCAACCTGTCGCCCATCGAGGACGCCTCTCCCACGGAGGAGCTGCGGCAGGCAGCCGAGATGGAGGAGCTCCACCGCTCCTCCTGCTCTGAATACTCGCCCTCGCCTTCCCTGGACTCGGAGGCCGAGGCCCTGGATGGCGGCCCCACCCGGCTCTATAAGTCGGGCAGTGAGTATAGCCTGCCCACGTTCATGTCACTCTACTCGCCAACTGAGCCACCCTTGGGCAGCTCCAGCACTCCCAGCTCTGGCCGGCCCCTCAAGAGCGCCGAGGAGGCCTACGAGGAGATGATGCGGAAGGCCGAGCTGCTCCAGCTGCAGCAGGGCCAGGCGGCTGGGGGCAGGGCACCCCGTGGCTTCCCTTCTCAGCCCGTAGGCCCCCGGGCCCAGGGTGCCTTTGAGTTCCAGGACACCGCTGACAATGGCTATGGCCGGGCTGCTCCACCTCCCTCGGAGGGCACTGCCTCCAGCCTGGGATCAGCTGTCTACGAGGAGATCCTTCAGACGTCGCAGAGCATCGCCCGCATGCGGCAGGCCTCCTCGCAAGACCTGGCCTTTGCCGAGGACAAGAAGGAGAAGCAGTTTCTGAATGCCGAGAGTGCGTACATGGACCCAATGAAGCAGAATGGGGGTCCACTTACCCCCGGCACCAGCCCCACCCAGCTCGCTGCCCCTGTGCCCTTTTCCACCTCCGCCACCTCAGACAGCAGTGGGGGCCGCGTCATTCCTGACGTCCGAGTTACTCAGCATTTTGCAAAGGAGCCTCAGGACCCCCTCAAGCTGCACAGCTCTCCTGCCTCCCCCAGCTCTGCCTCCAAGGAGGTCGGCACATCCTTTCCCCAGGGCCCTGGGACCTCAGCCACCGCAACTGTGGCTCCTGGTCCTGCTGGCCTGCCTCGAGGGTATGTGACTCCGACATCCCCAGCTGGCTCTGAGCGCAGCCCTTCACCATCTTCCACAGCCCACAGCTATGGAGAGAGCCCGGCCACTGCAAGCTACGGATCCCAAACTGAGGAGCTGCCCCAGGCCTCCAGCAGCCTTGCTGCCAGTGGACGGGCCGCCAGAGAGAAGCCCCTGCGTGTCGGTGATGGCAAGAGCGGCGCTGCCCAGCCCTCCCAGGGATATTCCTACTTCGCGGGCCCTAGCCCGCCTCTCTCCCCATCTTCTCCCTCAGAGAGCCCCACGTTCTCCCCTGGCAAGCTGGGCGCAAGGGCCACAGCAGAGTTCTCTACACAGACGCCAAGCCCGACCCCTGCCTCGGACATGCCACGGAGCCCTGGTGCCCCCACCTCGTCCCCAATGGTGGCTCAGGGCACACAAACGCCACATCGACCCAGCACGCCTCGCCTGGTATGGCAGCAATCCTCTCAGGAGGGCCCCTTTATGGTCATCACTCTGGCGTCAGATGCCTCCAGCCAGACCAGGATGGTACATGCCAGTGCCTCCACCTCCCCAGTGTGTTCCCCCACTGACACCCAGCCCACCACCCACGGCTACAGCCAGACACCTCTGAGTGTGTCTCAGCTTCCCTTGGAGTCTCCTGGGCCACCTGGCTTCCCGCGGGCAGCCAGTGCTGGTGCGGATGGGCCCCTGGCACTGTATGGCTGGGGTGCCCTCCCTGCTGAGAACATCTCCCTGTGCCGGATCTCCTCCGTTCCTGGAACATCCAGGGTTGAGCCAGGTCCCAGGCCCCCTGGAAGTGCCGTAGTTGACCTCCGCACTGCCGTTAAGCCCACCCCCATCATCCTCACTGACCAGGGCATGGACCTGACCTCTCTTGCTGTGGAGGCAAGGAAGTATGGCCTTGCCCTGGATCCAGTCCCAGGCCGGCAGTCGACAGCTGTACAGCCTTTGGTTATCAACCTCAACACCCAGGAGCAGACCCATGCCTTCCTCAGCACCGCCACGACCGTGAGCATCACCGTGGCCTCATCTGTGCTCATGGCTCAGCAGAAGCAGCCTGTGGTCTACGGAGACCCCTTCCAGAGCCGGCTTGACTTTGGCCAGGGTACAGGTAGCCCCGTGTGCCTGGCCCAGGTCAAGCAGGTAGAGCAGGCTGTCCAGACAGCCCCGTACCGAGGTGGACCCCGGGGAAGACCCAGGGAGGCCAAGTTTGCCAGGTATAACCTGCCTAACCAGGTAGCACCTCTGGCCAGAAGAGATGTTTTGATCACTCAGATGGGCACTGCCCAGAGTGTTGGCCTTAAGTCAGGCCCTGTGCCAGAGCCTGGTGCTGAAGCCCACCGGGCCACCCCTGCAGAGCTGCGGTCTCATGCTCTACCGGGTGCCAGGAAGGCACACACAGTGCTGGTGCAGATGGGCGAAGGCACAGCAGGCACTGTGACCACACTGCTCCCAGAGGAGCCAGTGGGCGCCATGGACCTCACGGGGATGAGGCCTGAGAGCCAGCTGGCATGCTGTGACATGGTCTACAAGTTCCCCTTTGGCAGTAGCTGTACAGGCACTTTCCACCCTGCTCCCAGTGCACCCGAGAAGAGTGTGGCAGATGGTGCCCCACATGGCCAAAGCAGCGGCCCCTTCTACAATCCTCGGGATCCTGAGCCTCCTGAGCCCCCCACCTACCGGGCACAGGGGGTAGTGGGGCTTGGGCCCCGTGAGGAGCAGAGGCCCTACCCACAGGGCCTCCCTGGCAGGCTATACTCCTCCATGTCTGACACCAATTTGGCTGAAGCCGGCTTCAACTACCATGCCCACAGGATGGGTCAGCTTTTCCAGGGCTCTGGACGAGACTCGGCTGTGGACCTCAGCTCACTGAAGCAGTCCTATAGCCTGGGCTTTGCAGATGGACGCTACCTGGGGCAGGGCTTGCAGTATGGCTCGTTCACGGACCTGCGTCATTCCACAGATCTTTTGACTCACCCACTTCCCATGCGGCGCTACAGCTCAGTGTCAAACATCTACTCGGACCACAGGTATGGCCCTCGGGGAGAAGCAGCTGGCTTCCAGGAGGCCAGCCTGGCCCAGTACAGTGCCACCACAGCCCGCGAAATTAGCCGTATGTGCGCGGCCCTCGACTCCATGGACCAGTATGGAGGGCGGCATGGCAGTGGTGCTGGTGGCCCTGACCTCATGCAGTATCAGTCCCAGCCCCGGCCTGGGATCAGTGCCCCGCAGGGTCTGGGTCCACTCAGAGCTGGCCTCCTTGGGAATCCCACCTTCCCGGAGGGCCACCCAAATCCTGGGACCCTGACCCAGTACAGGCCTGCAGCAGCCCAGGGAACAGCAGTCAGACAGCTGCTGCCATCCACAGCCACTGTGCGCGCCCCTGATGGCATGATCTACTCGACTATCAACACCCCGATTGCTGCAACACTGCCCATCACCACCCAGCCTGGCTCAGTACTGCGGCCCATGGTGCGTGGAGGCATGTACAGGCCTTACGCATCTGGTGGGGTCACAGCTGTGCCGCTCACCAGCTTAACACGCATGCCCATGATTGCCCCCCGGGTACCTCTTGGGCCCACAGGGCTGTACCGATATCCTGCACTAAGTAGATTCCCCACTGCTTCCAGCGTGCCACCTGCCGAGGGTCCTCTCTACCTGGGGAAGCCTGCTGCTGCTAAGGCGCCAGGGGCTGGGGGCCCACCAAGGCCAGAGCCACCAGCAGGGGCCCCTCGGGAAGAGCCTCTTTCCACAGCCACCCCTGCTGCTGCTGCTAAGGAGGCTGTAGCAGCCCCAGCCCCAGCCCCCCTGGCTGGCCAGAAACCACCAGTAGATGCTGCTCCTGCAGGCGGCACTGGGGCCCCCAGCAGGCCAGGGCTTGAGAAGGAGGAGGCATCGCAGGAGGAGAGGCAGAGGAAGCAGCAGGAGCAGATGCTGCAGCTTGAGCGGGAGCGTGTGGAGCTGGAGAAGCTGCGGCAGCTGCGGCTGCAGGAGGAGCTCGAGCGGGAGCGTGTGGAGCTGCAGAGGCACCGGGAGGAGGAGCAGCTGCTAGTGCAGCGGGAGCTGCAGGAACTGCAGACCATCAAACACCATGTGCTGCAGCAGCAGCAGGAGGAACGGCAGGCTCAGTTTGCCCTGCAGCGGGAGCAGCTGGCACAGCAACGTCTGCAGCTGGAGCAGATCCAGCAGCTGCAACAGCAGCTGCAACAGCAGCTAGAGGAACAAAAGCAGAGGCAGAAGCCCCCCTTCCCTGTGGTCTGTGATGGACCTGGCCGAGGGCCTCCTTCAGCGGCCACTGAGCTGGCTCAGAATGGCCAGTACTGGCCGCCCCTGACCCATGCAGCCTTCATTGCCGTGGCAGGGCCTGAGGGGCTGGGGCAGCCTCGGGAGCCCGTGCTGCACCGCGGTCTCCCCAGCTCTGCCTCGGACATGTCGCTGCAGACAGAGGAGCAGTGGGAGGCAGGCCGCAGTGGCCTCAAGAAGCGGCACTCAATGCCACGCCTGCGGGACACCTTCGAGGCAGAGTCGGGGCCTGAGCCCTGCATGGTCAGGAGGATTGCCGATAGCAGCGTGCAGACTGATGACGAGGACGGGGAGGGCCGGTACTTCCTGAGCCGGCGGCGCAGGGTCCGGCGGAGTGCTGACTGCAGCGTGCAGACTGACGACGAGGACAACACCGAGTGGGAGCAGCCAGTGCGCCGCCGAAGGTCCCGTCTTTCCCGCCACTCGGACTCTGGCTCGGACAGCAAGCATGATGCTGCTGCCTCGTCCACTGCCAGCACTGCTGCGAGAGCCACGAGCAGCGTGGGCATTCAGACCATCAGCGACTGCTCCGTGCAGACGGAGCCTGACCAGCTGCCCAGGGTCTCTCCAGCCATCCACATCACAGCTGCCACTGACCCCAAGGTGGAGATCGTCAGGTACATATCGGCTCCAGAAAAGACTGGACGTGGGGAGAGCCTGGCCTGCCAGACGGAGCCGGATGGGCAAGCCCAGGGTGGGGCTGGGCCACAGCTTGTAGGGCCAGCTGCCATCAGCCCCTACCTGCCTGGCATCCAGATTGTCACCCCAGGGCCCCTGGGCAGATTTGAAAAAAAGAAGCCGGATCCCCTGGAGATTGGCTACCAGGCCCACCTGCCCCCGGACTCCCTTTCACAGCTTGTGAGCCGCCAGCCTCCCAAGTCCCCTCAGGTCCTCTACTCACCAGTCTCACCCCTGTCCCCACACCGGCTCCTGGACGCCTCCTTTGCTTCCAGTGAGAGGCTGAACAAGGCTCATGTGAGTCCCCAGAAGCACTTCGCGGCTGACAGCGCTCTCCGCCAACAAACGCTGCCTCGCCCCATGAAGACCCTGCAGCGGTCCTTGTCTGACCCTAAGCCCCTCAGCCCCACCGCCGAGGAGTCTGCCAAAGAGAGGTTCTCCCTCTACCAGCACCAGGGGGGACTGGGTAGCCAGGTATGGGCACAGGGGCTGGTCCAGGGTGGGGCAGGGGTCTCTGCCTAGCCTGGGGGGCTCCACAGGGAAGGGCTTCTTCTGGGGTGGGGATGGAGTCACCTCCAGCTCCAGAAGCCCAAAGGAAGGAGTGGAGGACTGAACCTCCCTTGATGCACGTGGTGGAGCCTGCAGCCTGGCAAGGACATCCTAGGCAAACCCAAGCTCACACATGGGCCCCACAGCCATCCGTTCAGACTAGAAACCTCCAGCTCTCCTCAGCACTGCCCCTTAGGCCCATATCTAGTCCACTCCCCTTTCAGGCCTCCTTAGCCCCCTGCTGATCTAGGCCCTTAACCTGGCCCTTTCCACGTCAAACCTCTACTGTAGATGTTTCCTGAGAAAATCAGTCACACAGACCTGTGGCCGTCCCTACTCCTTAGCCCTGGCCTGGCTTCCGTTGCCCCACATGAAGCCCAAGCCCCTTGGTGTAGCTTTGAGGGCCCATCCAATGGGCTGCAGTGCGCTCTCTGCCCCTATCTGGCCCTCAGTAAATCTGTTTACACACTTGTCTGCTCCCCTAGATAGGGGCTCCTGGAGCATAAACTTACCCTTGTTTGTGGCTTTAGTTGCCAGTGATGCCTTGGGACTATGAGAGGTGGACTGCCATGGGCGGAAAGTGGGGGTGGCTAGGACCTAATGCCCCAAGCTGGGGTGGATGGGCTTCTTCTAAAGGCCCTTGGAGCCTTTGGAGGTTTTAGGCAGGTGAGACAGGACAGATGGGTATCTTAGAGAGCTTACTGGGCAGAATGTAGGCAGCTGGCTGAAGGAAGAGACTGCAGAGGGCCCCAGGGAGGGGGTCTGAGCCAGAGGCATCATGAGGCATATTTGCCATTTCTTCCTTGTGATGCAGAGGAGAGAGGTGGGGCCTCAAGGTGGGGTTGTGGAGATGATAAGCTTTGGTAGTGGAGAACCCTGGTGTGTGCAGGCCAGAGGAGGTGAGGTGGGGTCAGAAATCTGGGCTGGCAGGGAAGGATGGTCAGAGAAGCAGGTGGTCTGGTTCCAGGCTAATGTGGACACAGAGGTCCCATGAGCTGGCTATGTGGGGCCACACCACAATGAGCAGTTAGAGTATGCAGCCAAAATAACAAGACAGACAACAGAGCAATGAGTTCCAAAAGTGAAATTGTCCATTAAAGGCCCACCCTTTGTTCTGAGGTTTGGGGTCCCACTATCATTTATGACATACAGTGAGAGTAGGTGGCAGGTTTTTATGTAGTTTCTTGGCAAGCCTAAATGTAAGAAGCCCGATGTCAGTCTCTTGTATTTTGGAGCTTTGGTCCATAAAAGTCCAAAAGCTTGGGGCATTCTGGGAAAGCTATGAGCCAGAGACAAAGGGAGGACCCAGGGCCAACCTTCCAGCAATGTGGAGCTTCGGGGCAGGTGAGGGGGCCCTGTGGCGGGCAGCATTAGGGAGTCCTGACCAGGAAGCCATGCAGCAGGAAATGGAGCTGGAGAGGACCTAGAGGGGTGCTGGTAGCCCCAGAGAGTAGTAGGCTGACAGGGCTATGGAGGGAGCTGGGGGCCAGGCTGAGAGCACAGCCCAGGGGGTTTGGTAGAGGGTGATGCAGGGCAGCTGGAGGAGTTGCATGTCACTTTAGAGAGGAATAGGGCAGGAGGCAGCAAAGGACCCAGAGCCTGCTGCAACTGACATACAGCCAACATGTGTCCCTTCCCATCATCCTCTAAGGACCCGGTGGCCCAGGACCCACTCCATTCCTGTCCACGTCCCTCCACTGACCTTGGTCCCCAACAGCTGCTAGGACCCAAATCCAGAGCCAAACCTGTACCCTGCTCACCTCAGTACACTCAGTGGAAGGCGGAGGGGGGCAAGCCCATTGGACATGTGCAGGGATTCTCAGAGCCACCGTGCACTAAATGTTCTCAGAGCCAGGCCAGTAGTAGAGAGCAGCACAGAGGGGCACCTTCTCCTTCCCTACCCTCCTGTGGCCCAGAGCACTGGGCAGGAGAGGCCTGTAAAATGATCACAGGCCAGCGGGTGGGCTGGGCAGGCCTCAAGGCTGCCTGGTGAATCAGGGCTCCAACAGTATGGAACCCAGCCCCCACCCCAGCCAAAGCCAGGGCTCTTCCACCCTGTGCCCCGCCAAGCCACTCACACCCTGGGTCTCAGTGCTGCCCGCCCTTCCCTCTGTCTCAGGTGTCGGCGCTGCCACCCAACGGCCTGGTCCGCAAGGTGAAGCGGACACTTCCCAGCCCTCCTCCAGAGGAGGCTCATCTGCCCCTGGCTGGCCAGGCCCCCCCACAGCTGTATGCAGCCAGCCTGCTGCAGCGTGGGCTGGCGGGGCCCACCGCTGTCCCTGCCACCAAGGCCAGTCTGCTCCGGGAGCTGGACCGGGACCTGAGGCTGGTGGAGCATGAGTCCACCAAACTGCGCAAGAAGCAGGCAGAGCTGGACGAGGAGGAGAAGGAGATCGACGCCAGGCTCAAGTACCTGGAGCTGGGCATCACGCAGCGCAAAGAGTCGCTAGCCAAAGACCGGGGTGGCCGTGACTACCCGCCCGCGCGTGGTCTCGGTGAGCATCGTGACTACCTGTCGGACAGTGAGCTCAATCAGCTGCGGCTCCAGGGCTGTGCCACTCCTGGCCAGTATGCAGACTTCCCAGTCACCGCTGCTGCTCCCGCCACCCCCTCTGGCCCCGCTGCCTTCCAGCAGCCCAGGTTCCCACCTCCGGCCCCGCAGTACACTGCAGGCAGTGGTGGGCCAGCTCCGAACGGATTCCCAGCCCACCAAGCACCTACCTACCCTGGCCCTAGCACGTACCCAGTACCTGCCTTTCCTCCTGGCACCAGTTATCCTGCTGAGGCTGGTTTGCCAAGCCAGCAGGCTTTCCGTCCCTCAGGCCATTATGCAGCCCAAACACCCATGCCAACCACACAGAGCACCCTTTTTCCAGTCCCGGCTGACAGCCGTGCCCCCCATCAGAAGCCACGGCAGACATCACTAGCTGACTTGGAGCAGAAGGTGCCCACCAACTATGAAGTGGTCCCCAGCCCTGTCGCGGCCATGTCTTCAGCCCTGTCTGAAACCAGCTACAGTGGCCCAGCGGTAAGCAGCAGCTATGAGCAAAGCAAGTCCACAGAGCTGCCCCGGGCCGGTGACCGCAGCAGCGTGAGCCCAGCCCACACCTACCCCTCTGACTCACACTATGCCAGCTTGGAGCAGAACGTCCCTCGAAACTATGTGATGATCGATGACATCAGTGAGCTGACCAAGGACAGTACCTCCACTGTCCCTGATAGCCAGCGACTGGAGCCCCTGGGGCCAAGCAGCAGTGGACGTCCAGGGAAAGAAGCGGGAGAGCCAGGTGTCCTGGAGGGGCCCACACTGCCCTGCTGCTATGGCCGAGGGGAGGAAGAATCTGAGGAAGACTCTTACGACCCCCGTGGGAAGAGCGGCCATCACCGGAGCATGGAAAGCGACGGCCGACCAGGCAGCACCCACTACTACGGTGAGAGCGACTACCGCCATGGGGCTCGAGCAGAGAAGTACGGTCCAGGCCCCGTGGGGCCCAAGCATCCCTCCAAGAGCCTGGCCCCAGCAGCCATCTCCTCGAAACGCAGCAAACACCGGAAGCAGGGCATGGAGCAGAAGATCTCCAAGTTCTCGCCTATTGAGGAAGCCAAGGACGTGGAGTCAGACCTGGCCTCCTACCCTCCCCCTGCGGTCAGCAGCGGCCTGGCTGCCCGGGGCAGGAAGTTCCAGGACGAAATCACCTACGGGCTCAAGAAGAACGTGTATGAGCAGCAGAGGTACTACGGGGCATCCAGCCGGGACCCAGTGGAGGAGGAGGACCGCACATACGGCGGGAGCAGCCGGTCCCGGGTGGCAGCTGCGTACAGTGGGGAGAAGCTGTCCAGCCACGACTACAGTGGCCGGGGCAGGGGATACGAGCGGGAGCGGGAGGCTGCGGAGCGACTTCAAAAAGTGGGCCCCAAGCCCTCATCCCTGAGCATGGCCCACAGCCGGGCCCGGCCGCCCATGCGGAGCCAGGCCTCGGAAGAGGAGAGCCCTGTTAGCCCCTTGGGACGGCCGCGCCCTGCCGGCGGCACCCTCCCTCCTGGAGACACCTGCCCACAGTTCTGCTCCAGCCACTCCATGCCTGACGTCCAAGAGCACATCAAGGACGGCCCACGGGCTCACACATATAAGCGTGAGGAAGGCTACATCCTGGATGATTCCCACTGCGTGGTCTCCGACAGCGAAGGTAATGGCAGCTGGGGGTGATTTCAGCAGATGCTCAACACCTGGGGGCCCTCCTGCCCATGGGGTCCTGGGCCCCGAGATGTCCCAGTGGGGCCTGGCCTGGCGCCTCATGCTGTGGGCTCTGCCTTCTCCACACACACCCTGGCCCTGGTTGTGGGAGGGTGGGT